AATCAAATCTTCCTAAGTATTTTTGGGCGGAGGCGGTTAGCACGACGTGTTTCGTAAGCAACCGTGTCAATATTCGACCAATTCTCAAGAAGACTCCGTATGAGTTGTTCAAGGGTAGGAAACCAAACATAGCATTTTTCCACATATTCAGATGCAAATGTTTTGTTCTCAACAACAATAAGGACAATCTCGGTATGTTTGATGAGAAGTCCGACGAAGGTATATTTCTTGGTTACTCTCTTTCTAGTAGAGCGTTTAGAATTTTTAATAAAAGAACTCTTACTATTGAAGAATCCATTCATGTTTCTTTTGATGAGACTAAACCCTCGAAAGAGGATAATATTATTGTGGTTGATGATGATGATATAGTAGGTTCTTCACAACAACAAGAAGATACTTCAAAGAATCAAGCAATACCACAAGAAGATGTCACTCAAATCATTGAAGAACATCAAGATCTTCCGAAGGAATGGAGAACACAGAGATCACCCGATAGATAAAGTTATTGGTGATATTAGCCAAGGCGTTGCAACTCGACTAAATCTTAAGGATGTTTGTCTCAACATGGCTTTTGTGTCTCAAATTGAACCAACCAAGATTGATGAAGCCTTAGGCGATGACCAATGGATGGTAGCGATGCAAGAAGAACTCAACCAATTCGAAAGGAATCAAGTTTGGAGTCTCGTACCAAGACCGGACAACAAGCACATCATAGGAACGAGATGGGTGTTTAAGAACAAACTTGACGAGAATGGGATCATAGTTCGTAACAAAGCAAGATTGGTCGCACAAGGCTACAACCAGGAGGAAGGAATTGATTTTGATGAAACGTTCGCTCCGATAGCACGTTTAGAAGCAATTAGATTATTACTTGCTTATGTTTGTTCTATGAATTTTCAGTTGTTCCAGATGGATGTCAAAAGCGCTTTTCTGAATGGATACAACAATGAAGAAGTCTACGTAAAACAACCTTCGGGTTTTGAAGACTTCAAGAATCCCCCGTATGTTTACAAACTGAAAAAGGCACACTACGGACTGAAACAAGCACCAAGAGCATGGTATGACCGCCTTAGCAATTTCTTATGTGAAAAGGGATTTACAAAAGGAAAGATTGACAAGACGCTGTTCATAAAGAAGATCAAGGGTAACACCTTATTGGTTCAAATCTATGTCGACGACATCATCTTCGGATCAACAAACAAAGAACTTTGCGAAGAATTTTCACTTATGATGCAAGGAGAATTCAAGATGTCCATGATGGGAAAATTGAACTATTTTCTTGGACTACAAATCAAGCAAACAAAGGATGGCATCTTCCTCAACCAATCCAAGTATTGCAAGGAATTGTTGAAGAAATTCGATATGGATAGTTGCAAGGTGATGTCCACTCCTATGGGATCCGGAACGTACGTTGATCAAGATGAATCCGGTACTCCAATTGATATTACAAAATATTGAGGTATGATCGGTTCATTATTATATTTGACGGCAAGTCGTCCTGACATTATGTTTAACGTTTGTTTGTGTGCACGCTTTCAAGCAAGTCCGAAGGAATCACATCTCACTGCCGTGAAGAGAATCATAAAGTATCTCAAAGGGACAACGAACATCAGATTATGGTATCCAAAAGGTAGTACTTGTTCTTTAATTGGTTATTCTGATGCTGATTATGCAGGATGTAAGACCGATAGAAAAAGCACGAGTGGTACGTGTCACATTCTCGGGAATGCACTAGTGTCATGGGCCTGTAAGAAGCAAGCATGTGTGGCACTCAGTACAGCCGAAGCAGAATATATTGCAGCAAGAAGTTGATGTGCACAAATTATGTGGCTCAAGCAACAACTCCTCGATTTCGGTGTAGATCTCGGTTGCATTCCTCTTCGATGTGATAATACAAGTGCCATCAATATTACAAAGAACCCGGTCATGCATTCAAGGACAAAGCATATAGATATCCAGCATCACTTCCTTCGAGATCACGTACTTAATGGATATGTAGATGTTACTTTCGTCGATACACATAATCAACTCGCCGACATCTTCACCAAACCATTGGTGAAAGAACTGTTCTTCAAAATTCGACGAGAACTTAGGATTCTCAATGAAGGTGATATCTGATATTTTCTCTGGTTTATGTATGCATAATATATGTTTTCAACCTGATTGCATTCTGTTTAAGCTTTTAAGTTTTTAGTTTCATTTATTTTGTTATGTACTCAAACAATATTTCCTGCATTTTTTCAATTGCTGCGTTTCTTTTAGTATGCCTTGTTTGATTACTTATTACTTGAATGAAGGCTTTCATATATGCCGATATCTCTTATTATGATTTGAAAGCTCCTTCCTTTTTGCTAATGACAAAGGGGGAGAAGAGCTTGGTTTCTCTAATATCTCTCTGTGCAGAATTTTTGCCTCTGTTTAGATAGGGGGAGTTGCTGGACATAGAGGGAGAAGCAAACCTAGATCGGAACGAAACATCGTCAAAGATATCGCACAGACTTATTTGATTGTCATCATAAAAAAGGGGGAGAATGTAGAAGCATACTTCAATCTCAAAGTTTTGATGATGTCAACAAGATTTAAGTTCATTCCATGTTTGCAAAAAGTCAAGCTTTCAAATTGATTAAGATTTTTACACTATATACCCGTGATGGTATATGTACTAAGAGGATGCTTGCACTATATACCCGTGGGGGTATATACACTGAAGATAAAACCAAAAACTTCTCTATTCTGAACTCTTCTCAAAAAGCAAGAGGTGCAAGCATATCATCAATGGAATGTTGTCATGCAAATCAAGCTTCATGTGAAAATGATCATACAACTTTCAAGATTTGGACTCAAAGCTTTGGTATATCAATATTCACTCCTTTAATTGATATACAAGTGTTCAAATAATTTATCATATCAACATTTTGCATATGCATGATTTTAAAATCATTTGGAATTGGTATAACACTTTTAACTCAAGTATTTTTTCTTAGTTTTAACAGTGTTAACCGATTAACCGTATGGGTTAATCGGTTAACGACCTCAAATTTTAAATTCTCAGGGTTAACGTTCAAGTGTTAACCGATTAACCTATATGGTTAACCGATTAACACTGAACCAATTTTGAAAAATTATTTCTTTTTAAACTCAAATCTTGTTTGAATATTATACCTTTTCATTATCTGATTCTTACTCAATTATACCTTTTTGAAATGGTGTTTTGACTCATATAAATTCTGAAAATTTCAAATTGAAAAAGTGTTCATACTGTTCATATCATTTCATATCCAGAATTTTTTGAACACTTGTATTGATATTGAAAAGTGAATTTTGATCAAAAGGAGAAGATCAATCATTGTATTGGTATTATTATTATCACTCTCAAATTACAAAATTACAAGAATTATTTCTATTGTGACTTGTGATCCAGGATTGTTGGACACAAGGGTTAGTGCTTGCAAGAGGATTGTTCTTGTACACTAAGTTGTTGACATAGTTGTTCGATAGTAGGCCTCATCGGTTGATGGTGTGATAGGTTGTACATTCTAAAACCATAGTGAAAACTCTCTTTCATGTGGAAAAGGGGAGTGGAGTACCTTCAGATTGTGAAGGGAACCACTATAAATCTCTGTGTCCATTTTCTTTCTGATTTTTACTGCTTTCATCATCAAGATCATAACCAAGTAAAATTTCAAGAATCTCGAAAAACCAGAAAAAGTTTCTAAAGCCTAATTGATGAAGGTTTGCCTAATTGAAAAAGTTTCTAAAGCCAGATTTTTACTGCTTTATCCATGTCGAATCTCTTAAGTATTTCTTTAAAGTATTTTGCTTAATTGATGAAGGTTCTTCCTTTGATTAATGAATTTGTAATCCAAGAAAGTACTGCAACTCTCCCATCACAGACATTTCAAACTCATTATACATCACACCAGAAAATCCCTTGCATAAATTTTTTTTAATAACACTAAATATGATATCATCAACATTAATTTGCATAAGTAAAATGTCATGATTAATTTTCTTAATAAAGAGAGTTGTATCAACCTCCCCTCTTTGAAAATTGTTTTCAAGCATAAACTGGTCAAACATTTCTACCATACTCGATGGGCTTTGTTTCTAACCATAAATAACCTTTTATCTACTTGAAGACATGATCAAGAAAAAAATAATTTAAAAACTCGAAAGATTGATAAACATACACGTTGATAAACATACACTCCCTCTTAGGTATAATGGTTCTCAAAAACGCTTTTTACATCAATTTAAAAGAGTTTAAAATTAAAAATACATGAGAAGGCTAAAAACATCCTTATGGTTCTTAATAGCTACAAGAGAATATGTTTCATCGAAATTTATACATTCCCATTGATTGTACAATTTCACAATAAATCTTGTTTTATTTCTTAAAACATATAAATCTTCGTCAAGCTTGTTGCGAAAGATTTCCATTTACTTCCAATAGCTATATTAAATGGCTAAGCCATTATTTTTCTCAAATTAATTTAACAATTCTTACATAATATATGGACTTACAAGAAATTCAATAAATTTCAACGAGAAAATGACCACTTTATATACAACCATAATATATATTTTAACCTCAATCCAACTCAGTTCAGAGCTTTCCAAAGATTATGTCTGACATGAAAGCGCATAAAGAAAGACTCCACTCAATCTCTAAATTGTGCCTAAGTTCAGAAATACTCCTAAGGTCACTACAATCGTATGGATGAAGATAAATTCAATAAGACAAATGAGAAAGAGAAAAGGAATTTGACAATGGGCGCATCTTCTAGGCGGCCAACTAACTATATGTGAAAAGGAAAAATCAAGGAAGCAACGTGATGCAAGTTTTGTGATACTATATGATAGAATAGGACAAAAACAAAAGGTTCAAATTTCAATCCATTGGATTGAAAATTGGGTAGCTTTGGAATCACCGTTAGACATTACACACAAGTATAAAATTCCATTTTGTACCTCTACTCAATACATGCACAAGTTAAACTATGGTAGACGTGAAACTACTAGGATTTTGGTCTAGTCCTTTTGTTCATAGAGTGATATGGGCTCTAAAGTTCAAAGGCATAACATATGAATATATAGAACAGGATAGACATACCAAAAGCCAGTTACTCCTTCAATCCAATCCTATTTACAAGAAAGTGCCTGTTCTTATTCACCAAGGAAAAGTCATTGTAGAGTCACTTGTTATTCTCGAATACATTGAAGAAACTTGGCCGGAGAATCCATTGCTTCCCAAAGATTGTCATGAAAGAGCCTTAGCTCGATTCTGGATTAAATTTGGAGAAGATTCGGTAATTTCATTAGAACTTTTTTTATCCCTTTTTATGTACTTTAATTTTGATCAATACGGACCTGAAAGTTGCAGGTGCATTGTACCTCCAACACCTTATGACTTTGAACTGATGATTGGATATTTTAATCGAATATATAACTAAACTAAAGTATGATTGATGTTTGTTTGGTTTATTTTGTAGATTGCTTCTCTAACTCGTTTGTTTATGCGACCTCCTAAAGACGAAAAGGAAAGAGTTGAGGCAATAGAAAAAGCACAAGGAACTATCACAATAATGGAAGAGCAAGGTTTAGGGGACAAGAAGTTTTTTGGTGGCAACAATATTGGAATGGTAGACATTGTATATGGATGCCTTAGTCATTGGTTAGAAGGGTTAGAGGAAATTGTTGGGATCAAATTAATTGAGGAAAAGAAATTTCCTTACTTGCATTCATGGATTCAAAACTTTAAGCAAGTTCCTCTAATTAAAGAAAATCTTCCTGATTATGAGAAATTATTGGTCCATCTTCAATGGCGCAGGCAGGAATATATTATATAGTTTCTTCAATAAAAAAAGAGTTGGGTTTGAAATTAGGAAAGAAATATAATTTTGGGAAGATAGTTTTGGACCTACAACAACTTTCTGTTTTGGTTTTTAAGTGTCTAAAGCAAAACTCACATGTTATCCAAAATTTTAAGGAAGTAACGTCATATTCTAATATTGTTCCACTTTTATTTTTGGTCTTTTAATTTATTTTACATTTGTATCTTTGGCATTTTTAAATCTAGATCAAATTGAGCTTAGGATCACTTGGTCATGGCCATTCATTTCATCTATTTTGCAGTGTATTGTCTATAATAAATCTTTCGATACTACTAAAAATAAGATATTTGGTTAAATAATTTTACATCAAATTTTAAGATATATGATGTGAAAAATATTTGTCAAAGAATTTTACATAAAATTTATTAACAATATGATGTGAAAGATATTTGATTTAAAGATTTTACATCAGAAATATATTTTCACTGATGTGAAAAATAACGCGGTGTCAGTTTCGTAAATAATAAGAAATTTTGTTATAAAGGATTTCACGTCGGTCTTGTATTTGCAACCGATGTGAAAAGTTCACTGATGAGAAAAAACAAGGTGACAGTTTTGTAAATAATGTGAAGATTTGTTATAAAGGATTTTACATTGGGTCATTCGTCCCAACCGATATAAAAAGTTCTCAATAAAAAAAATATGGATTAAACATTTCACATCGGTCCATTCAATACAACCGATGTAAAAGGTCTTGTGAAGGATTTTACATCAGTCATTTAATTGCAACCGATGTAAAAAGTGTCAGGCCTTTAATGGATTTCACATCGGGCCATTAACATGAACCATGTAAAAAGTTTTATGTGAAAGAATTTTACATCGGCCCACTTGCCAACCGATGTAAAGTCTTCCTTAAAATCTCAAACCCTACCCGAAAACATAACATTCTTAAAAACCCAAAAACACAACTTTATTCTTCGCTTCATTCCTTCAAACGTATCATCAACCATTTTTTCTCCCAAACCCTTAAATTGTCGCCGTCAACCGTCACCTGCGAAGCCAACTTCTTCTTCCACCGTCGCCATCAACCGTCACCGTCGGATCTCCCTCCGCCATTTGCCGTCGCCGTCGGATCTCCCTCCACCATTTTCCGTCTCCATCGAAACTCCCCCCGCCATTTTTTGTCGCCATCGAAACTCCCTCCGCCATTCTCCGCGAGCTCCTAAAAGGTTAGATCTTCCTTTCATAAATTCTTTGAATCCCATTATATTTCTTGAAAAGGTTAGAGTTTAAACTTTGAAAAGTAAAATGACCAACTTTGTGGAAATTTAGCTTTTCCTTCTCTCCCGAACTTTGAATCCCATTATATTTCTTGAAGGAAATTGAGTTTATAGTTACTTTAAAATTGGATTTCTGCAACATTTATACCTTTTATCCACAAAAGTTGCAATTACCTTAAGGTTCATTGGACGCCACGTCGAAAAGCTCGCAGGAATCTCTAATTCCATCAAGTTGGTTTCCGGTCACTTTGTTCAATGTTGACTACGTATATGCATGTTATCTATATATATATTATGCATTTGAATCCCATTATAATATTTCTTGAAGGAAATTGGGTGTAGAGTTAGAGTTAAAATATAAACTCTAATATGGATGTAGAGTTAGAGTTAATATTTCCTTAAAGAGTTTGATTCAAATTGCTTATTCATAATATTTATTTCTGACACATTGGAAGTTGAAAAAATATTAAAGAGTTTGATTCAAATTGCTTGTTCATAATATTTCCTTACTACTAATATTTCCTTACTCTTTAGTCCTTTTGGAAGATGAAATTGAATGAATTTTGGGTGAGTCTTGAAGATAAAAATGTCAAATAATTTTGATGTCAATTTGGTTCTATTTGGGTTTAAATTGAGTAATAGAATTTTTATGATAATACCATTTTGTTAGGAATATTTTTTATGATTTAATTTAATGTCACGTGTTTCTACGTAGAGACTTTTGTTCTCTCTAATGTGTTCAAAAGAGGGACTATTGTAGGCGTCACAATGATTTAACTTTGTATGTGTTAATTTCGGAACATAGACATGGATCGTAGTTGGATGAGAGCCAATCAATTAAGTGCTGAGTACGAACATGGAGTGATGAAATTTCTACAGTTTGTTGAAAGTAATGCTAAAAAAAACCTTCTTCCTCCTAAAAGTAATGCTAAAAAAGGTCACCATGTGCTTTTTCTCTGTCCATGTGTTCGTTGTGCAAATCAAGAACCAAAACTTAATAAGAAAGAAATTATGGATCATCTAATTTGTGAAGGGATTTCTTAAAGTTATACACAATGGCTATGGCACGGTGAAGTAGTAGCAAAGTCAAATGTGTCTCAAAGAGATAATGTTAGTGTAGAAATGGATGATCGTCTAGAAGACATGATGTGTGATATTGGACAAGATTTGTTTAAGAGGGCAGATGCGTATGATATTTTATGCAATGACAAGGATAAACCTTTGTACCCGGGATGCATAAATTTTACATGTTTATCAGCCGTGTTAAAATTGTTTGATTTGAAGGCAAATAATGGATGAACTGACAAAAGTTTTACCGAATTGCTTAAATTGTTGACACAAATGCTTCCTTCCAAAAGGTAACGTAATTCCAAATCGTTATTACGAGGCGAAAAAATTATTGTGTCTGATGTGTTTGGAGTATGAAAAGATACATGCATGCCCTAATGATTGCATATTATACAGATAAGAGTATGTAAATTATAATCATTGTCCGAAATACAAGGCGTCACGCTAGAAAAAGAAAGATGGTAATTCTAGTGATGATGAGGTGGTCAAAAAGGGTCCTCCCGCGAAAGTAGTATGATACCTACCAATAATTTCAAGGTTCAAGAGATTATTCACTAATGTAAATGACGCAAAGAATCTTATACGACATGCTGAAGAAAGAAAATGTGATGGACAAATTCGCCATGTAGTTGATTCTTTGCAATGGAAGAAAATAGATTCTTTGTTTCCAAATTTTGAAAAAGAGTCGAGAAACCTTAGACTTGGACTTTCTACTGATGGAATGAATATGTTTGGTAATCTAAGTACTAGCCATACTTCTTGGTTTGTTCTCCTGATGATTTTACAACCTATCTCCTAGGTTGTGCATGAAGCGTAAATATATTATGTTATCGATGATGATTTCGGGCCCAAAACAACCAGGAAATGACAGAGACGTTTATCTAAGTCCATTGGTTGATGATTTAATAGTGTTGTGGGAGGTAGGGGTGGATGCTTTTTATGCGTATTCTGGTGAACATTTCAATATGCGTGCCATGTTGTTTTGCACCATCAACGATTTTCTAGCATATGGCAATTTGTCTGGGTATAAAGTTAAAGGTCATAAAGTGTGTCCTTTATATGAAAAAGACACATGTTACCATCAACTTGAAAAAGGAAAGAAGATTTTGTTATCTAGGACATCAAAAATTTCTAAATCGTTATCATCCATATCGTAGATTGCGGAAAGCTTTCAATGGGAAACAAGAGCATGGTGTTGCTCCAAAGCCCTTAACTAGAGAGGAAGTTTATCAACGACAAAAGGGAATTAATGTTGTTCTTGGAAAGTACCAAAAGCAATCTACTGTGAAAAATATATGGAAAAAGAGGTCGATTTTCTTTGATCTTCCATATTGTTCTAGTCTTGACGTAAGACATTGTATTGAAGTGATGTACGTGGAAAAAATGTATGTGATAGTTTAATCTGAACACTTCTCAACTTTCAAGGAAAGACAAAAGATGGTTATAATGCTCATCTGGATTTGGGTTTGATGGGTATACGAGAAGAGTTAACTCCACAACATATAGGCAACAAGATATATTTGCCTCCTGCCTGCTACACTTTGTCTAAAAAGGAGAAAAAAAGTTTTTGTGAGTGTTTACAAAGTATTAAAGTGCCGCATGGCTTAAAATCTCATGACTGTCATGTCTTAATGCAACAGCTACTACCAGTGGCTATTTGGATATTTCCTAACAATGTTAGGAAGACTATAACTAGGTTGTGCTTATTTTTCAATGCAATTTTTTGTAAAGCCATTGATCCATTAAAGTTAGACGATTTGGAAAATGAGGTTGCAGTTATCTTATGCCAATTAGAGATGTATTTTCCTCCTTCATTTTTTGACATTATGGTTCACTTGATTGTTCATCTAGTAAGGGAGATTAGATTATATGGTCCAATTTATTTACGGTGGATATATCCAACAGAGTGATACATGAAGATCCTAAAAGGGTATACAAAAAACCCACACAGTCCGGAAGCATCGATTATTGAGAGGTGCATTGCAAAATAAGAAATTGAGTTTTGTTCAAACTATTTGTCAGAAGGGGTTCCCAAGTCTCGTCATGATGGAAGATGTGAGGGTGTAGGTACACAAGGTTTAAAGGTAAAGAGCTTAAGTATTGAGGTGGTTGTACAAGCGCATTTGTATATATTTAATAACACTGATGAAGTCCAACCTTACTTATCTGCTCACAAAAGCATCATAAAGAAAAAGTACCCCAAGATGAATGAAAGGGGGTTGTTAAAAGATCATAATAAGATTTTCTCTGAGTGGTTTAAAGAAAAAATTGCTAATGATGACAGTGCTTCTAATATAATTAAGTGGTTGTCCTATGAGCCTAAATGTAACATAATAACTTGGAGTGGATATGATATTAATAAAACTTCCTTTTATACAAAGTCAAAGGATGATTGTAGTACCATGCAAAATAGTGGGGTTATGATTGTGACCGAGTCCATGCACTTCTCTAGTTCTAAAGATAAAAACTCGGTTATGGAATTTGTACCCTACTTTGGGGTGATCGAAGAGATTTGGGAAGTTGATTATGTTGTGTTTAAAGTTCGTGTATTTAAATGAAAATGGATTGATATCAACAATGGTATAAGAATCAATGAATTTGGATTTACACTGGTTGATCTTAGCAAGTTAGCTTATGCGGACAAACCTTTCATCATGGCATCTCAAG